ACCACATGATTTTCCAGTGTCAAGTTGCAGAAGAATTTTTCTAATAGTTTAAGGTCTGAATACAACGTTGTCCGTGTAAGAGCCAGTGTGTGGCAGTACCAGTGGCGCTCTGCCATTGTCCTCCATCGTAGAATTGGATGCGAATTGAAACTACAATGAAATTATTGTCCTCAACTAAAGGTGAAAATTAAGAGAATTAATGTGAAATTTTTCCCTATGGTCTCAGAAGAAAGAGATAAATTCATGATACAATTATTATAAATTGTCTCAACTTGACTATCATGAAGTCATAACAATACGAAACATGAAATACTAATATGCGATTTTATTTTACGAATCGTTTGACCAATTAATTCACTAAAAAGAATGTTGCCTGGACAACTAATACCATACTGGAAAATGTTTTTTTTTTGGTCTGATTGGAAAGCGGATTTTGGAAAACAAAGAGCTAATTAAATGGTTGAGTATAGGCTTTGGATTTTACTTTATAAAACAAAATTTCAGTTAGGTAAGTTTTTCTGATATTTTTTTCAGGCTCTAATTGGTCGTGAACATGGCAAAAGAATGAAATGAAATTTTCAACAAAAGCTATTTTTCACGTTCAATTAGGACCCAGTGAAAATCCATTTTGAGAGCCAGTTTTTTTTTCCAAAATGCGAACCAATTTAATATCGTATTACATATTTTACATTGTTCGGATATAAATGATTTTTTGAAGCAAAATAAAATATTTAATTACCAAAAATTTAATAATAATTGATCATTTGTAACACATATACCGGTCATGGTTTCTATTTCAATAATAAAGATTAATTTATTCTCATTTGCTGCAAGACAAGAATAAATAATTTAAGATTTAGACAACCCGCTGACATAAAAATAATACAAAATTACTCTTTTGTAACAAGTCCGCACCTTAAACTAGCCTAAAAAAAATCGGTACATTACGAAATCATTGCACCTATATGGATAGGACAAGTTTTGAAATTAAATTTTTGATAAACTTAGATTCTAGGAAGCTCTAATTCAATCCGGAGATAAAACTCCATCCCTAAGAAATTTTCTAGGTCAATGAATAATTCATAAATCCTGATGAATTCCTTCAGTTTACCAATAAAATTTTAATTAATATTGACGGCGTCAGGGCTTATTGAAATTTTAGATTTTAATCATGGTTTTATCGAGTTTTTCTCTAATCCAATAAAAAAAAAATTGTCTTAATCTTCTTAGTTATTGATTACAATTCAATTGCAAGAAACGAACATTAAATACCGTAAGAAATTCATTATAGAGTCCCATTAAACGACATCTTCCGAATTTCCGAATCTTTAAAAGCACGGAAATTGGAAATTCCACATTTCACTTTGGGCTTTTAGGCTCGCGGAAAATTTTGTAATATTGTTTCTCTCCTCGAATATAGCTTATATCCGTCATTTTGAAGTTGCGGAATAAAAGGATGTCGCAATAAAGAACCTTTTTCGAGTGGTTTAAACAAAAATGGAACTCTGTGACAACTTCAATTTGTACGAATGAATATTGAATTTTCAAAAAAAAAAAAGCTTTACTTTGGAGACCTGAAATTTCAAATAAACTGTGAAGATATCCATCCAAATCACCACAATCATGATGGGTGCACAACTTAAAAGTCTGATGCAATGGCCCAAGCCGCTTAAAAACAAGCCGAGATAGTCTTGGCTAGAGAGTCATCCGAGCGAATCGTGTCCTTGTACCAAAGCTTCTATTCCAAAAACGGCCTTTATAACACCAGATGGCCACTATGAGTATTTGAGGGTTCCTTTTGGTCTTTGTAATGCTCCTGCGGTTTTCCAGAGACACATTAATATAGTGTAAGGAGCGCTTCGCTATGGCAAAGCCTATATAGACGATGTGCTACTCCCTGTAATCGATTTTGACGTTGGCGTTTCCAATTTAAGCGAAGTTTTAGATTCTTTTAGGAAAGCCAATCTTACCCTGAGGTTATCCAAATGCCAGTTTTTTATGGAAAAGGTGGGTCACGAAGTCAGCAGAGAAGGAGTACAGCCAGGCTCAGGCCTTGAAAAGACAGGAGCCGTAAGCAAGTTTCCATTGCCCACAGATGCTCGTGGTGCAAGACAGTTCTTGGGATTGGCTAGTTACTTTCGGAAGTATGTACATGGTTTCGCTACAATCGCAATATCGTTGACAGTGCTCACACAAAAAGACTCTAATTTTGAGTGGAAAGATGAACAACGTGCAGCATTCGAAGCCCTCAAAGAAAAGTTGGTCACTCGACCACTGCTATTCTCATCTGTGGATTGTTAATAAAACATTTATATTTTTCGAGCCCGAGCGTTAAATTTTGAGTACTTAAAGTTATCGGAAGTTTACAGATAGCAGCGGTAGGATTCGAACTCGCGCCTCCGAGGAGATTGGTGAAGTCATTTCTTGAGCACCAAAACTTCGCAACAATTTTGATGAAGCTGGTAAACTGAGACAAATTCTCAACCAAATCATGGGAACACTATTACTTTGAGAAAATAGGACTGTTGAGTGCCTGTGAAATTGATGGGAAAAAAGCAGTATCGGAGGGATACAGAATCCGACCATTCAAGCAGATGTGAGAGCGGGCAGATATGAAAAGCCCGAGGCACTTTATGCTGAATAGATATCAGCAGGACGGTCGACACCGGAAAGATACGCTCCAAAACGACCATATTATAACGATCCAAACTGCGCTGGACCATCCCATTCGAAAAGATTCAAGCCAAAATACAGGGCAAAAAGACCGTGGGAAACGCGCCGAGAAAAGAACAACGCTGTTACAATTGCAAAGGAACAGGTCACTTATCGTTCAACTGCACCACCAAGCCGAAAATTCAGTGTGACAACTGCCACAGAATGGGCCATGTCTCGAAGAACTGCAGTAGGCCAAGGAAAAATTTGAGAAGTCAAGTTGTGCAAGACTATTCCAAGGTACAAGCGGTTAATACATCCTATTATTTCGATTGCTGGGTGAGCGAAAAGCCTACACAATCATACGTAGATTCTGGATGCAGAATCACTGGGAATAAAGTACACCGACAGCGACATTATGGAGGCATTTTAGTCCGTGTTTTTGGTAGAGCTGACATAAAACTAAAAGAAGACCAGGTAGAAGCTGAAGTGGAAGCATTGGTAGTACCGGATGAAGCCCAGGAAGTACCTGTAATGGTGGGTCAAACCATTATGATAACTTCTGGAACAACAGTAAGAGTCCTTTCCGCACATGATGACCTTGCGAGAACATTGGATGTCCGTTAGCGGAGAATACCTCTATGGACTACGAAACGTACTGTGATTCCACCAAGGATGACTGCCTTTTAGTTGCGGTGACATCTGGTGGACGTTATTCTGGAGAAGTCTATATTCAAGGGGGACTACGAACCTGCCCTGGCAAAGAAAATTTCCTGGACGAGTGTATCACGAATGCTGAAGGTGGTTGCGTTAGTGTAACCAATCTATCTCACCAAGAGTTTGACTTGTTTCTTGTTTCGAAGATAAGGGTCCGAAGCTACGAGTTCTTTCTACCCAGAAAAAAAGTAAAAATAAATTTAGTAATAATGATTTGGATATTACCAAAAATTTATCTAATTTACAAAGTGACAAGTTGTTAAGTCTGGTACCTAAATGAATTCAATGACAATGTTTTTCTAAAAATACAAATCAGTTAGGTAAAACAAATGTACTACGCATGTCCATTCATTTAAGCAGTGATACACCTGTAGTCCGTCGTCCTTATCGACTTTCCTTTGATGAACGAAAAGTTGTAAGGAATATCGTGCAGGACCTGCTTGAAAAAGAAATAATTCGAGAATCGGAGTCGCTACGCTAGTCTTATCCTGTTAGTCAAAAAGAAAAACGGCGAAACGCGCATGTGTGTTGACTACCGTGCATTAAACAAGGTAACAGACAGAGACAGATTTCCTTTACCTCGAGTTGATGAATTTCTTGAAAATATGAAAACTTGCCAATATTTTACTAGGCTAGACGTTGCTAGTGCATACCATCAACTACAAATGGAAGAAGCTTCTATTCCAAAGCGGCCTTTATAACACCAGATGGCCACTATGAATATTTGAGGGTTCCTTTCGGTCTTTGTAATGCTCTTGCGGTTTTCCAGAGACATATTAATAAAGTGTTAGGAGCGCTTCGCTATGGCAAAGTTTAATCCCATACCCATAGGTACGATGTGTTACTCCCTGGAATCCCTTAATAACAAGCCGAGGTAGCCTCAGCTAGAGATTCATCCGAGCGAGTCGTGTCCCTGTGCCAAAGCCTTCTATTCTATTCTCATCTGTGGATTATTAAAAAAACATTTATATTTTTCGAGCCCGAGCGTTTAATTTTCAGTACCTACCTCAAGTTGTCGGAAGTTTACAAAACTGAAAGCTAATGTAATAACTGACAACTCAATTAATCAAATTGAATTCTATTCCAGGAACATAAAGTGCATCTGATAACTTGATTTTTGTTTCTATTCCTTGTACTTTTGTCTTTGTAATCAAATCACTAGTTTCTCTTGTTTCTGGCATTTTCCAGACTTTGCTATTGTTATTCTCACAGCTTGAATCAAGGTTCTAATGTTTGAAAGTAATAATATACATATCTACACTTACTAGTCATGTGTTTGATTATAGGTATCACTTTTTAAATGGAAAACTCCGATGCCTTACTTGTAAACAACATAATTTTCTGATTGTTCTAAAACCTACTATCGACTCTGAACACATTAAAATTGACTCTGTGATTCAATTTCCTGGTACTAACTGAAGCAAACATTTTGATTCCTATATTGGTAAAAATGGATAAGTTTGTCTAAATAAATATCTACACGAATCAAGATCTTTTATTATTTCGTTCACAAGACCAAATACGTTTTTGATTGAAAGTTAAATAATAAATTTCGCTTTCAAACCAGAAAAAAAAGCACAAATACAAAGTTTTTTTTTTCCTTTTTTAATTCCATCCCTTGTTTGTTGCAGGCCCCAGCAAGCATGGAAAATTACTCAGCATGCCTTTCAATCCATTTCGGAGAGGTAAGCACCGTAAAACTTTACCAAAGATAATTGAGTTTAAACTTCAATTTAGGTCGTGGATTGATTTTTATATCGAGGCAGAGGAAAAGCATTGACGGAAGAAGGATAAAAATAAAAATGATTTTTCCTAAATTAAAATGATCAATTTTAGTAATCGATATAATGACCGACGTACATTTATTTAAATAATTAATACAGAATTTAATGGCTTTTTTTTTGTTGCTGACGCCAAATTTTTATTTATTATGAACTGTATAAAGTGCATTTCATAAACTGTGTATGTAATACTTAAGATCAACTTATTGCCGAAAGAAACGATTTTCTTCCATAAGTTTTTCAGAACAAGATCGTTTATCATTTTTACTTTATACTCATATCAGTAATGTATAATCAAATTATTCATAACTTTCTTGACGGATAAATTTGGTAAAAAGCTTATTGCATTCAAGCAAAGTTTCACCCCGAAATCTTTGAAGTTGTCCCGGAAAGTTTCGATCGTTTTACAGGCAAATGATTTTAGCCCTTAGTGGACGCGTTAAGGCAATTAAAATACCACTGACAGTTTTCGCATTAATCGAGAAATTGTTTCTTTTTGTTTTATTAGTGAATTTAATGAGACTGACAAATGCAGCCTTTTCCGATACAGTAATTAATTGCATCTGTTGCTATGTTTTGAAAATTCTTTTCCGAGAAGACGCTCTATTTAGACTTCCTTATGCTTCCAGGATTTTATCTTATTGGAATTGTTCCTGGGTAGTGAAGTAACATTTTGACGATGGTATCTCATTCAAATCAATCATAAAGTTTAAGTATAAAAGTAGAACTTGATCGGAACGCGTCTAAATATGTTGTGGTAGTTAGGGGAGAGTTAGGTTATGATCAAATTGAGGAAAACCACATATTTGAAATATTATTTCTCCAAATCTTATATTCTTAAAAAAAAAAATTTTGCAAAACAAAATATAGACAAAGAAGTCACTTGAAGAATCACCAACTGATACAGTCGGATATTCATCTTTTTGCATGTGACACTTGCTAAGCAAAATTTAAAGGTAAATACCAATTGAAGAATCACAAACTAACACGTTTGGATGTTTACTCTTTTGAATGTGACACTTGCAAAGCTAAATTTAAACGAAAAGGCGAATAGGAAAATCATAAACTGACACACTCGAATATTAATATTTTTGAATGTAACACTTGCAAAGCAAAATTTGAACGAAAACTCGATTTGAAGAGTCACCAACTAATACACTCGGATATTTTCCCTTTTAAATGTGACACTTGCAAAGCAAAATTTAAACGAAAAGCTTTTTGAAGAATCACAAACTCACACATTCGGATATTTATACTGTAGAAAAGCAAATGACAAATGTTGCAACCATGTATGCGCTGTGAAATTCATGGGAACGGGGGCGCGCCAGAGAAAGGTACCGAAGGGAGGTAGAAGAAAATGAGAGACTAGAGAACAAGCTAAGTGTCCGCCATTGTTCATTATTCAATTTTTATTTTGTGGTAAACTGATTGTTCAATCCAATTTGTGATGAGTTTGTGTGCCATAAGGAGCATTCACAGGTCAGTTGGGTAAATTTTATTTTGTTTTGAGGGTTCAATTTATACGTACTATTTTTTTAATTTTTATGTTTTTTTGTTTGTTTATAACATTTTTTATAACATGTGCATTGTTCATGTATTAAACAAACGCAGATAAAAAGTAAATTAAAAACCTAAGAAATTATGTGCTGTCTTTTATGCTGGAATTTTGATTTTTGGTATTCATTCGTATTGCATTAGGGCCTCGTTAAATCTACTAACACTTTCCTACCCTAACGGGCGAATATCCTAGCAAACAAATTGAAAGGTCAGTCTAGAGATATTGGCTCAAAATAAAAACTAAAGCTGAGTAGCTTCCCGTATGGGACCTCAGTACCTGCTGGCTAACTATCCAAAAACGCTTCAGTGTTGAATATAGGTAGTGTTGATTGAATGTAATTTGTGGAATTAAAATGTTAGCACAAGAATAGGGACCCTACCTAATTTAAACTTTTATTGAATTATTGACTCACAAATAATTATTAAAATGTCACAGTATGTTTTGATTTTTGAGGAATGTGAATCGAGGGCTTCTCTGCCGTGCTGTTTCCCCTTGTGAATTCCAGGAAGAGAATGGTACGATTTTCTAAATGATCCACACAGTCGGAAACCTTCGATAAGTCACCAAACACCGCTGCTGAAAGGTGATTTTCATTTGTAATCAAATAGATATCGGGTCTTCAAAAAAAAAAACGGATCGAAGCTTTGATTATGAAACCCTATGTCGCATTACTGTTTCTTTATTGGTGAGGATTTTTGACATGACATTTTGACATTAAAGTTCATTGACAAAATTTAAGAAAAATATTGCTTTAAAAAACCATAGCAATCTTTGATGGTTTTTTTTTTGAAGACCTGTAGGGAGAAAATCGCATCAGATGTTCCTTTTCCACATTGGAAGCCAAATTGATTATCGGAGAGGGACCTGTGTAGATTGTCGAATAAAAGAACTCTAATTTTGACCAGTTTCTCACTCAGCTTACCAAGTGAAGGAAGAAGAGAAATAGGACGGAAATTTGCTGGAGAGTCTGGGATGCACTCTGAGATCATTTCTATTCCTGAACACAATCAAGTGTATATAGGACCCATCTTATAGTCCAAGAGCCCAGAGCCGGCAGACACAACTTATTTTCTAAAGGACAGAATATGTGGGATTGAGTAGCACTTATAGGTACTATGACCGTATGTATACTCGCTAAGTTGGGTAGACGGCCAGTTGACTGTTATTTGTGAATAACGGTTTTTCCCATTATGGGAAAAACCGAATCCCATTTCTACTCTAGCCTGGAGTAGACTGTAAGTTTAAGAGGGGGAAATAGATATCTCGCTCACTCTCAAACGCATGCATAGTACCCTCGCGCTCACACTCACGGAAAAACTATTATTGCGTCTGGGGGTATGTTTGGACGGTGCGATTGGTCTGGCTGAGCACACGTAGTTATGAAATAGTCTCCCCAATAACATGTATAAAAATCAAGCGTTAGAAAAAAAGTTAAAGTACTTTTTAAGCTTTCGCACCTGGTGTCGGTAAATTGGCCGTCTACCCAACTTAGCGGGTATACATACGTTCATAGTACATATAAGTGCTACACAATCCCACATATTCTGTCCTTTAGAAAATAAGTTGTGTCTGGCGGCTCTGGGCTCTTGGACTATTAGATATGATTTTGATCTTGAACCTTCTATCAACTGCGTATGTAATACGATTGACACTGGCAATATGTATCTACTTGTGCACACAGCTCAAGCTAGGAGCAGATAAAGGAAAGAATTTGTCCCTCAGATGATTAGAGTACTTTGGACGACCTCTTCTAATCAATAATTCGGCGATATTCCAGTAGCTGTTCCATCATATCAATTATCAATGCAGCAAAGACAATTGCATAGATAAGAACTCTAGATTCAAGCTCCAGTGATCAATAAGTAACTGCTGAACCTAGCGTTAAAGAGACAAAACCTGCACTTTTATTTGATCTGTTTGAACGTTTCGAAGGTAGAATTCCGACCCGCGAGACTGCGACAAGCGACCGAGATCGAGAGCGATGCAAGCAACAGCGACTCGCGACCGGTTGGCGGGTCCAGCCTGCGACAACGGTCTCGCAACCTTTCTGCTGTAGAAGCAGTGGTGCTGCGAGACTAGTCAGACCTAGACCAGGGAAAACTTCTCAAAATGGCAATGTTTTCTGCCCACGAGGACGAGTTGTTAGTAGATTCAGTATCATTTACTAAACTCAGTACAAAATTGAACTGTTTATGATTTAGTCTACAATACTTCCTGAACTTTCCATCCCATGTTCCATCCAATCTTCATACTTCAAATGCCTTTTTATAAGATAAGCAGTTCGAAGCATCCCTCATATGATTTTTGGCGGTAACGTCAACACAATAACATCATCTTCTGCTTCGTCTTCCATTAAACGTTTTCTTATTTTGGTGTTCGACGTGGTTTCCGCAAGTTCACACCAATTCAGAATGCAGCACTATTTTGGTGCCCTGCTGGGTCGCTGGTCGGTCTCGAGTCGAAGTTGTGTGTAGCTATTTGTCGTCTCGCGACATGAGACCAAGGTCGCAAAACCGCTTGGTCTCAGTCGCTTGTCACGGTCGATCGGATTGGAATGACCACTTTTTGCGAATGTCGTTTGGGTTACGAAACGCACCCGCAACATTCCAAAACCGACATGAGGCCAAGGTCACAAAATCGTTCGGTCTCAGTCGCTTGTCGGGGTCACTCGGATTGGAATGACCCCTTTATGCGAATGTCGTTCGGGCTACAAAACGCACCAGCAACATTCCAAAACCGATTGACAGATCAAACTTTTCTCTCTAATGTCTAAACATCCTTTACGATCTGATCATATTGTCAAATTCGTTTGGATCACATGTAGACTATTCAAATTTTGGCTTCCAAATGTACCTTTTCATGCAGTTCTAGCTACAAACCTTGGTCATGTGATTTTACGTCACACTGAATCCTGGACAAGGTCTCTGAGATTTCACCTGCCTTGTGATGTTAGAGAGCTACTTTCCTTACAACAGTGAATGTTTTCATGGTACAGATATTTTATTTATTTATTTATTTATTTATTACGCATAAGGCCAATTTATAATAGGTAACAATAAAAAACAATTTACAATATAATTTTACAACATACCTAAACCTAATCACATAACAAAGTACATCCTGATGAACTCACCAAGTTAATAACTATTCAATTGCTGTGGATTCTAAAAAACATATACAACTTATTTTAAAAACTATCCAGCAAGCAACCAAGGATGTCAATACTCCAGCACCTTGAGTTTGCAGATCTGAGCATACTTGAAATCGACTCATTCATACCATAATTAGTATTGTGGAATGGTACATAAAACAGGTCAGAAATTCTCACCCTTCTTTTCCCTGCTCT